ACCCATCTCCCTATTGAATATTTCTATTGCATCATCCCACCTACATCCTCCTACTCTCAATGAAAAGTGCTTCTTTTTATTCATCTTCTTCTCTGGAGTGAGTTTCCTCTCTATCATATGTTCCTTTTTTAGGTGGGGACCATATTGGTAGAAAGGCTGCAGGGGAAAATGACTGGAAAATATGATTTGGGTTAGGATGTTCATGGAAAAAGATACACATTGATCTATTGTCAGAATATTATCTCCATTTAAATTACTTGCTCATTATCTGTCTCTACCAGAAGGTACAAACTCCAAGATACTCCTTTGTCTATTTTCTTTACTGCTTGCTTTATCTCTAGCACCTGGCACAGGGGCTGTTACCCAAAAAACATTTGTGGAAAGAATGAAGGAATGAGATTAGCAAACCAATGAATGATGGGTGATTTATTCTATTGGCTCTGGGATCCATTGCAAGATTTTGAGCAGAGGCTTGAAGCAATCAGATTTGCAGGTTATCAAATGTCTTTAAGCTATCACAGTACCATAAGTAGCAGTCTGTATTATCCACCCCACCCCAAGTAACAGCTATTAAATTAGCTCTGAAGTACACATGCTGCAGTGGAAGAATTCACAGCTGTAAATATTCAAATCCTTGAACAGCCTCCTGAGAAGAGCAAAGAAGAGATCATAAACCTAAAAACTGCCCTCCCTCTCCATCCTCTCTTTTCTCCCCTCTTTCTCCCTAACTCTGGGGCCTTTAGTCAGCTGAAGTAGCTAGACATTGTAACCCTTTCTGAGAATTTCATCTGAGATCTGGATACCCAGCCCACTCTGCTGTTATATTTGCATTTCATGCTTAATTTGTCTATAACATTACAAATTTCATACTCCTACATTTCTACTGTTATAAAGAATACTATTTTGGTACTTCTCTTTTGCAAGGGAAATTAGCATTTCTACGTAAAATAGAGAAAAAAATTGTTGGTCATCTACCTAAAATGTCTGGGGTTTGATCCAAGTCTGAAATTTAAGTTCTCAGAGTCTGGGAGGAGCCATTTGTTTCTCAGTGTACTCCAGTGTCACTGTAGACTTATTAATATGATTTGGGTCTCTTCGTATCCATGGATGACCTGGTTGACTTTTTTTTTTGAGACAGAGTCTCACTCTGTTGCCCAGGCTAGAGTGCCGTAGCATCAGCCTAACTCACAGCAACCTCAAACTCCTGGGCTCAAGCAATTCTCCTGCTTCAGCCTCCCGAGTAGCTGTGACTACAGGCATGCACCACCATGCCCTGCTATTTTTTTCTATATATTTTTAGTTGGCCAGTAAATTTCTTTCTATTTTCAGTAGAGACGGGGTCTTGCTCTTGCTCAGGCTGGTCTCGAACTCCTGACCTTGAGTGATCCTCCCACCTCGGCCTCCCAGAGTGCTAGGATTACAGGCATGAGCCACCATGTCTGGCCAACCTGGTTGACTTTTCCTTTGGTAAAACAGAAGGACCCTGAGATCAGACACACCATCGGGGAGTTTTCTCCTGAAACGACTCCCCATCTCTTGTTCCTTACCCTGACTAGATTTCTGACACAAGGGCAGAATGCAGAAGTCTCCTCGCTGAAGGAGCCACCCAGAGTCCTGTGGGCCTAGTGTGGGAAATAAAGAGAGCTGAAGGCTTTGCAGCTAGTGGCCACCTCCAGAGCAGAAGCGAGGGGTATGTCGGGAAGGGACTAGAGGGGAGAAAAAGAGCCCCAAGTGCATTTTCATAAAGATAAGGGACATTTACTCTTGGTATTTATTAAGATTTCTAGTAATTGTGTGACTGTTATTCTTATTTTATGGAATCTTACCATCAGGGATCTTATATTTTACACAGGACAAAAAAATCAACAAAATTCTCAGACAGGGTCAGGGACATGGAGAAGAACTGGCCCAGATTACATTTTTGACATCTTTTTCAATGTCACGACTCTAATCCTAACCTTCAAAACCTAAAAATGGCTCATAAATTTGTTTCAGTGTCTGAAGGGCAGAGAATAAATTGTGGAAATGCATCCCAATTTGAGACATCTCTAGGCAGGAACTTAGCCTGAGAAGACATTGTGGGCAGCTGGAAAAGAGGGCAAGAGTCCAAACCCTTAGCCTGTGGAATTCAGGATTAATTCGTTTCATGGTTATCTTAGAAAGGACTCCGGCTTCCATCTTAGCCCATAAACCAATACCCTAAAAAAAGAAAACTGTAAGTCTTTATGTTGTGGGGTAGGGGCAGCTATTTACCCAGAAATCATTTGAGGGTGAAAAGGCAACAGTGAGATCCTGGTGCTCCTCTCTACCTCCAGAACCTTCTCTCTGGTCTCTGGGATGTCTCTGGGATTTCATCCTGGGCCAGTCTACTCCCCTCTCTGTCTGCCCTTTGTCAGCGTGGCTAGTATTCCCCTTCCTTATCTCATCCCTTCAAAGCAGACCTAGGGCTAGGGGAGGTCAGAATGCCTTCATGTGCTATTCTCTCCTACTGCTGCCATCCCTCTGAGCTGTCTGCAACCCCAAGCCATGTCCCAGTGTCAGGAAACTGGGACCATTTTTCCCATGCTGGCGCAGCCGGGACATTGTAAGACCTTCAAGGATGGAAAAGGGGGTTGTATATGATGCCTTTGATGTCTTCCAGCCCTGAGGTTCTGCAGGGGGAAAATGGGCAGACACTCAGTAGCTGTCTTCCTCCAGGATCCTACTGTCTAGGATGTCCAGGGAAAAGGGTACCATAATTACCTTTTAGTTAATTTTACCCATAATCTCAACAGCTTAACCTAAACACTGTTGAATTTTATGTGGACTAGGTAGCTGGCACAAAACAGATGCACAGTAAATATGTGTTAAATAATGAGAAATATATGCTAAGGTAATTTTAAAAGAATAACATTAGTAATGAAATTATGAATATTTTTCCAAATTTTAATACAGTGGTATTATTACTTATATAATACAAAATAATCTTTTCTTTAAATATTTTATAATTCATAAGTATATTTTAAATATATAAGTATATGCTTAAATAACTTTATAGAAAATAAAGTTTATAAACATATACTTACCTATCACTATAACAAAATACTATTTTTATATAAAAATTCAGAAAAAAATTTCTTCACACATTTTCTAAATATTCTCCAACCACTGTTTCTCTCCTCTCTATCCCAGCCTAACTCCCACTAGAATGAAAGCCCCTCCACCATGATAACATGACTTCTCTACCCCCACCCCAGAATATAAGCTTCATGAGAGCAGGAACTCCTTTTTTTGTTCACCACTGTATCCCTAGTTCCAAGGACAATGCCTGATAAATGGCAGTAACTCAATAAATACTGTTGAATAACTGAATAAAGATCTGTATGCATCTTCATTCAAAGTTGGGAGCACTAAAGCAATCAAGTGGAGGCAATGAGAATACATATATTACCCAGATTCTCTTAAGGTATTAATAATAGCTAACATTTAGTAAGCATTTATTAAGTAAATAAGCTAGGCACTATGCTAAGCACTTGGCAGGTAAAAATTCTATGATATAGACCCTATGATTAATTTTATTTCTTAAAAACCTGGAGGAAACTGAAGTTTAGAGAGGTTAGTATTGTGATTAGATACTTACATGTGATAACTTTTTTAATTTAGCAAAGCACTGAACCATCTTCATTAGTTATTCTTTGTAGTAAAATTATGGAGTGAGACAATGCTTAAAGTTCTCATTATTTAGATTCTCAAAGTCACACAGGGAGTGAAAGAGCTGCAATGAGGATATTGTATCCTCAGTCCTAGTGTGTGGCCACAGCAGCTCAGATTCCCCCCAGAAGATGAATACAAACATATGTAGTAGTGTTGCCCATGTCACAAGGCTGTGGTGGGGAGAGTTAATAAGTGATTACAAAATGCTTTATAAATACAGAGTGTTGTGGAAATGCAAAACATCTTCAACAACAGTAATTAGTTCTAATCACTATCTCTATTCCGTGTGCAGCTGTCTTTCAAAATTCATTTTGGGAGTTTAATCTCCCCATCTCAAGAAATAAAGTAACCTCCCTCTTTCTCAGACCCTACTGAGAAGCTGCCCCTCATTCCTTTCAGCTGCGGAACGCTCCCCCTGCACACCTCCTCAGCCCACCCTTCCTACTCTCAAGAGATCAGCAAAGGCTGAATGCAGAATGCTGACATTAATTGGAAAAAAAGAGGTCTACTGAGCTTTGAGTCCTTCAAAATCCCTGATTTTCCAATAATATTGAGCACAAGGGCCCAGAGAACTATCCAGACCTTTCAAAATAGAACTCTCTGCCCTCCCCTACACAGGAACTTTTCCTCCCTAGAAGCTCCAGTAATGCTCAAGGTAACCATGGTGAAATACCAGGCTGACAAATTATTTTTTATTTGGCTATGTAAGGCACATAACGGGCACTGAATAAATGTAGCAATCAGGCAATGATCAACTCAACATTCATTTATATACTGTCTACAGCTTTATATACTCCTGAATAGTTGCAAAAGAAACCATATGGCCCACAAAACCAAAAATACTGTCTGCCCTTTGCAGAATTGGTTTGCCAACCCCTGATAGGTTGTGAATATAGATAGAGGAAAGGTCTGAGCCCTGAGTCAACATTTAGAGATAAGAAAGATAAGAAGGAACAGTTATTTCATGATACAGGCAAAAAACCAGGGGAATGTGGTGTCTCCAACACAAATAAGGTAAGAGGGAGTGATCAATGAAGTTAATGTTACATAGAAGACATGTAATATGTGGATTGAGAACTGAACACTGGATTTTATAACTTGAACGCCATTGGAGACCTTCACAAGAACATTCCTACCAGAATGAAAGTCTAATTGATATAGTGGGCTCAAGAGAAAATGGGAAGAAAGGCAGTGGAGAGAGCTAGTATACAAAAGAGTTTTGCTAGAAAGGATAATAGAGAAAAGAGCTGTAAACTAAAAAAGGTAGAATAAAAGGAATGTATTTGTTTTTGTGGGTCTTTTTTAAGATATCATCTTACAACGTATTTATATGCTGATGAGAATGTGGAAATGATCCAATGGAGATAAGAATGGTGATGAAGATGGGTGAGGACAAACAGGAGGATGAAGAGGAAAAAAGGTTAACTTATGACACAGATATGCCGTGGAGCTGCCTCCCCACTGGTAAGGAATCTCAGAGTTTCAGCAATCGGGTGAAGTGATTTCTGTGCTGGACATCTAGGGTAAGCAAGGGTCCTCAAAAAAGAAATGGAAACCAGAACCAAGAGGTAAAAAGCTGTCTGGACTCGGATGATGTAAAGGCAGTGGTTTGCCCCTGATGATGGCCAGCTGAAAGCCAGCAAGGGAAGAAGCTGGGTAAGCCTGCCCAGGGATGGAAAGGATCCTGGAGATATGAAAACAAAGCTCTGACTTGCAAGTCCTACTGCCAAAATAGATTGATGGCTCTCTCTAGGTTGGTTTTCCTTTTGTTATCTTTTACTAATGTCTCAAACTCTGAACTTTGAAGGTTTAAATCTTCTCTAGGAAGATTTTCCAGGCAAAGAAGAGAAGCTCAGCAAAGCAGCCCCAACACTGTCCCCTAGGACACACACACACACACACACACACACACACACACACATATATATAATTTCAAAATATTATGGGGGTACAAACATTTTGGTTACATATAATGCCTTTGCCTTTGCCTCACCCAAGTCGGAGCTACAAGCATGCCCTTCCCCCATACCGTGTGCTCCACACCCATTAGTTGTGAGTTTACCCATCCCCCGCCACCCCCTCCCACCCATCCGGCACCCAGTGAATATTACTTCCATGTGAGCACCTCAGTATTGATCAGTTAGTACCAATTTGATGGCGACTACATGTGGCGCTTGTTTTTCCCTTCTTGTGATACTCTTTCCTTCAGAAAGGAGGCCTATCCCAGGCATATAAAGGTCTGTCTTTCACATTGTTACCAGTGTGGTCAAAAACTCCTCTTGCCTTTGCAGGGCAGAGACAGACTAGAATATGCAAAGCCTTTTCCTTTCTGGGAGACTGAGGGAGAATGAAGCAAACAGAAACCGCAGACACAGGAAAACAGGAATATGAAATCTAGGCACATGGGCTTTGAAGCCAGATAATCCTGGATTTAAATCATGACTCTTTGACACTTTCTGGCTATATAACCTTGTACATGTTATTTAACTTCTCTACAGCATAGTTTCCTCATCTATAAAATGAGTAAATTCATACCTACCAGTGTTAGTTTAGGTCCTCCAAGAAGTAGACACCAACAAGAGATTAGACTTGCAAGAAATTCAGGCAAATGCCTTTGAAAGATGATGGGTAGGGTGCAGGAGGACTCTGAGAGAGCTGTCAGACAGTGATACATATCTGATCCCTGAGAAGGAGAGAGTGAAAGAAGGAAGGCTGGATAGGACAAGCCTTCAACTACCATGTAGAATCCTCAGGCCAAAGTCATCTTCCAGAGGAGTCTCACAAGAATAGACCTGCCATAATATCCCCACTATGACCCATCACTGGCTGGAAGCAAACCGTGGGAAGTGTGGCCTCAGAGCAAGTGCAGTGGTATATTTAGCACACAGCATCTGGGGACATCAGTCAATTGTGCTCCCTATTGAAGATCTGAGAGGCACATTCTCATGGTCGTGCACATCTGCTTCTCCAAGGGGGTTAGGGAGCACTCTTCCATGGTTCCCACATACTTCTCTTCCTAAGGGTAAACTTAGAAGGGCCAGGTGAGTGGAACATCACTGCTGTTGCTCTCAGGCTGCAGTTGGTACTCATACTCTCTTTTTTCCATTCTAAATTCCCCTCACTGTTACCTATCGCCTTGGCAGGTCTTGGTGGCTTATCTGGTGGTGACCCAGCCTTCATTGCTGGAGGGTCTGGTAATCATACTGTTGGTTATCACCTCTTTCTCAAGCTAGAGTTGCTGCATGTGTCCATTCAAGGGGGAAAGGGAATACCAGGAGATGCCCAACTGCATCTACACATATTCCCTCCCTGTCCCCATTGTGTAAAAGCAGCCTTGCCTCCTCCTGCTGATAAGGGTCAATTACCTCTGACAATGTGGTAACTCCTCTTCTCAGGCTGGTCCCTAGACATAAGTAGCCCAAAAAGCCTTGATGGCAAGCATAGCTTATAGTTTGGTGAGACCCTTGTCTGTGTCTCCTGGTAAGAGTGACCAGGACCTTCTTTGGAGACCAGGACCTCCAACTCTGCAGAGTTCAGAGTGGCAGGGATAGAAAATACAAAATCCCTCAGTGGGTCATTGGGAGTAATGGTAAGTGGAGTTCGTCCTGCCGGCAGCCTTGGTTCCCAGACCCAGGTATTCTTGCTGTTAAGGATCTAGCACCATATGAAGATCTCTGTATATACACGGCATCCTAAAGGATGAGGGCCCATCCTTTTACAGTGTTGCCACCAAGCTGACACTTTACCTGTGCCTTTAAAAGCCTGTTCTAGCATTTTCTGAGGCCAGCTGCCCTTGGATGGTGCTATATGTTATATGACCAATAGACAATATGATTGTGGATCCACTCCACACTTCCTTCACTGTGAAGTGGGTCTCATATTTGGATGCTGTGCTGTGTGGGGTTCTATGCTTTTGGATCAGGCATTCCATAAGCCCCTGAGTAGTGATGCTGGCTGAGGCACCGTATGTAGCAAAGGCAAACCTGTAGCCAGAATAAATCATCTATCCTTCTGAGGATGAACCACTGGCTCTTTGTCTTAGTCTCTTCAGACTGCTATAACAAAATACCATAAACTGGGTAGCTTATAAACAACAAGAAATTTATTTCTCACAGTTTTGGAGGCTGGGAAGTCCAACATCAGAGCACCAGCAGATTAAACATCTGGTGAGAGCCCTCTTCCTTCATGGACAGATGTCTTCTCACTATAATCTCACATAGTAGAAGAGGTAAATGAGCTCCCTTGAGCCTCTTTTATAAGGACATTAATCCCATTTATTAGGGCTCTACCCTCATGATCTAATCACTTCCCAAAGTTCCCTGCCTATTAATACCATCACCTTGGGGGTTAGGTTTTCAATGTATTTTGGAGAGACACAGGCATTCAGACCATAGCAACCTTCCAGTATGGGAGAGTCCCAATGTAGTTGACTTGCCACTAAGTGGCTGATTGGTCTCCTCAAGGAATAGTGCCATGTCAAGGGCACAACATTGGTCTCTATTGCTGATAGGTTGAGCATTTAGAAGCATCAGTAGCCAGAATTCCAGGGGCCTACATTTTGATTTCTCCTTCAGGAACTTAATATAAGCTCTATACTGCATCTTTTCCTACCACTGAGATTTTCTGACACCATAGGGTCCTCCAAATCCTATTGCCAGGACTGCTTACTCCATAGCCTAATGCAGCAGAGAGCCCTTTACTTTTCCAAGTCCTACTCAAAGCAGCAATCTTCCTTGTCACCCAGTATATGGTCCAGAGAACTGTTCCTGGGTATAGAATGTGTTGCTTCCAGATTCCAAAGAGGTCTACTGGCACTGTGCTTCCATCTTTATGGCAGGGGATATAAGAGATATGACTTGTTTTTCACTTTGGAAAGCTATCCCAACAAACTTCTAACCATTGGACCCCTGAAATTTTCACTGAAGTGGTAGATCCTTGAATCTCTGTAGGATTATCTCCCACCCTCTGGAGCACATCTGCATGCCATCAATGAAATGTATCAGTGTGATGGTTTCATGAGATGTATTTGATGTCCAGATCTCATCAAACCTTATTATGACAGAGAGCAGGAAAGTTAACATAGCTCCAGGGGGAAACTATAAATGAACATCCCATATGAGCACAAACTGTTTTTTATCTTCCTTTTTGATTGGAACTTGCTTTTTTTTCTTTTTTGAAACAGAGTCTCACTCTTTTGCCCGGGCTAGAGTGCTGTGGCATTAGCCTAGCTCACAGCAACCTCAAACTCCTGGTCTCAAGCAATCCTCCTGCCTCAGCCTCCCAAGTAGCTGAGACTACAGGCATGCACCACCATGCCCAGCTGACTAATTATTTCTATATATTTTTAGTTGTCCAAAATAGAAATTTCTTTCTATTTTTAGTAGAGATGGGGTCTCGCTCTTGCTCAGGCTGGTTTCGAACTCTTGAGCTCAAACAATCCTCCTGCCTCGGCCTCCCAGAGTGCTAGGAGTATGGGCGTGAGCCACTGCACCGGGCCTTGGAACTTGGCCTTGGAACCGGGCCTCAGATCACTAGCCACATACTATGTACCTGAAGAGTTACTGATCTGCTCTAGCAATTAGACCATATCTAGCACAGTAGCTACGACTGAGGCTTCTGATTCTTTAAGCTTGAGGTGGTCTTTGGCCACTCCCAGAATCCATCTAGGGGTGTGATGGTTTTGGTTTTGGTGTTTTAGTTTAGTTTAGTTTAGTTTTTTCTCTGAATCTGCTTGCTAGGGAAGATATTGTTTTTTATTTACTATCTTGGCTAAGAAAGGAGGGAAGGTGAGGGAATGATTTCAAGGTTTCTACTTGGCCTTCCTCATTATGATATGTTTTACCCCATAGGCTAAGAACCCAATATGAGGATTACTCTAATATCCCAATGTATCAATGCAGTCAGGAACAGGGGAGATGACCACTAGGTGCACCCACAAACCCAGCAGGTCCAGTGTAAACCACACTTTCGGCAGGACTTCATTTATTACCTGGTCCTCATAGGCCTCAAATTCTATCAGAACAATGATAATGCTTTAGATCTCCAAGTATCAGTGTCGACTCAGACTGGTTGCCCAGTAGTCCTCAAAACGTCTGGGTATTTTCCCTTCCCCAGTATACAATCGCCCAAGTAAAGGGTCGTGGGTCCCTCTGGGGAAAGAACTAGGGGCATCATCACAGTATATATTTGCTATGGTGTTTCTACCTATTTTCCCCCTAGAGGTATCAAGCTCTGTTACCATCTCTACAAATCCCTGACGTTCAAGACCCTTGGCTGCCCATCAGACCTTGCAGGTTGTTACAATTATTGTGGCATCTATTACATTGAAGTTTATCGGCTCCATGGATATTAGTGAGTCCAGCTCTGTGACCACCTATCCTACCATCAGCCCTGAACCGCAGAGAAGAGCGCCACTGTGATGCCAGTGCTACTCTCACCAGGGCTTTCCTGACGGCCTGAGTGAA